TATAAACTAGAGCTTCGCTCTAGCTGGGGGCTCCGCCCCCAGGCCCCCGAGTCGGGCGGGTAGGTCACAGATTCCCGGTACTGTACCCGGCTACGCCGGGCACGCTCACGTCCCCTCGCTGCAAAGTATTTTCGGGGAGGTCACAGATTCCGAGGGGGGTGCCCGGCTGCGCCGGCCACGGTATGTGGAAGTCAGTGCACAGCGGTTCCTAGGGGGGTGCCCGGCTGCGCCGGCCACGGTGTCGAGCCATCGCAATACGTCTTAAAGGAATGACGTTATAATTCATGGTACCTATAGGCTGTATCTAGTAATCAGAATTCATACCTAGTTATGGACAAATATTTTGCAAGCTAAGTACTGATTAAGTGTAGAGTAAGTCTAGCTATGTATCTGTAATTTTTTTAAATTTTAAATTGAAAAGAATAGTCTAGAAGTTAGACGGTTAATAAATATCAAGTGTCCGGTGTTGCTTACTTGGGTTGTTACCACTTTTACCAATTTTTATGAACTACCAATGTCCAGTTCCTTATCAGCGGGCGGAATTCGTATTGAAAACTGATAAGGACGGCAGGTCTCCGAGTGTTTTAGCATTCGCTCGCTCGGCGCCGTCGCTTCGCTCCGCCAACTAAAAATATCCTAGGTTTGTAGGCTACAGTCTATGAGGAGGTAACAGGTTTAAAATTAAGTTTAAATTAAAATTTTAAAAAGTTAAAGAGGCTTGATAAGAAGCTGGCCATTGGGAAAAAGTGTACAATGGAAATTGTCTTTGGTAAAAGTTGTTATATTATAGACCACGTCATCAATATAGGCCGGCGTCATCCCGCTTAACTTTATGAGTTGAAAACAGATAAAAATGTCTAGAGGACAGTCAGCTAAATGTCTGTTAAGGTTTGCCTTTGTGAAACAAAATTTGTTTAAACGTAGTATGTTATATGTCTGTACACAGCGGTTCCGAGGGGGGTGCCCGGCTACGCCGGCCACGGTGTCGAGTCAGCTCACTACGTTTTAAAGTATACCGTTATAATTCATCGTACCTTTATCCAGTAATCATAGTTCATACTTAGTTTCGAAAAAGTGTTTTGCAAGCTAAGTACCGGTTAACTGTAGTGCAAGTCTAGCTATCTGTCAGATCAGAAACGTCCTACTACTAAAGCGAGTGTGCTACTTGCTTAAAGGACAATTTTTTTTTTTTTTTTAATTTGAATTGTTTGAGGTGTTGTTTACTTCACGGGCTTGGTAATAGCTATGGTTCAAAATAGAAAAAAATGTTTAGAGGTCAGTCTGTATATGTCTGATATGGTGTTCCTATGTGCAACAAAACTTTTTCAAACGTATACGTTATATGTCTAGATATTGGTTGAATTAAAATCCTTATTTGTTCAGAAATCACCGTCTATGCCATTATTCGGTAATGACGTACTGTACGTTTAGAATGTAACCAACAGCATAATGCATTAAATATGTATATTAAAGGTCTGGTGGTTTAACAGAAGTTCATAAGTGTTTAAGAATTCAAGAGTAAATCACATGAATGAAATGTCTAGTTTATATTAAAACTTAAAAGGGAAAGAAGTGAAGAGTGATAAATACATTATTATTGATCGACTATTTGGCAGAGCTTATAAAAATGTCCAAAGAGAGGTTAAATGAAATGTCTCGATGCAAATCTTTTAGTTTTTGGATCTGGACCTTTAATGCTAAAGGTACTTTGATACTTAAGGTCTGACGTTTGTTGGTTATTAGAAGTTTAAAAGTGTGGAAGAATGATATGTTTGTGTGACGGTTACTTGGGAACTCAAGAGTACAAAACATGAATGAAATGTCTGAAATAATTTGTAGCAAATATTTTTGATTATTCGAGTGTCCGGCGGTGATTATAAAAACGGTCAGAGTACAAAATGATAATAATAATAATATTCAGTGCATAAAATACCTAAATTATTTGATACTTATCCAGACATATTTTATACATAATAGATAAATTGATATATACATTAATACTTTTTTAAGTAAACCATGAAAGGTATAAATCCATATGTTGATATATTTTTAGATGGCTAACCAACAATTCATCCTACTAAATGATAATAATCAAAAATTTTAAAATAATTTTATTTTTTATTATGTAGTATCAATTTAAAAAAATATAGCAAAATCTATAGATTTACTATACTTTTTTAGGGTGGAGCGAATACTTATATTATACTTCTATAAATAATAAAATAGTAAATTAAATGTCGATTTTCAATAAAAATTTTAACCCTTTGAAGCACAGCATTTTTTCTCCGATTTTCTCTGAACATGATTATGAAGGTGGTAATAAATATATACCACTGCGCGAGAGTAGGCTATTTTTTGAAAAAGTGGTATATTACTTATACCACCATGCTTCAAAATGTTAAAATGCAATAAAATGATTTGAAATTAATATTTTATTTTTATGTTTTAATTACGCCCTATGTCTGAAATCACACCACAAAAAAAAACAAAATAGTCAATATTAATAAGTATCTAATTTAGTTCAAGCTATATCAATAGCAGCTCAAAAAAAAAAAATATATATATATACATACATATAATATAAAAAATTAACATTAAATAGTTAGTAAAAATAAATGTTCAGACAATTTTTTTGATTTTTGATTACTACTCACAAAAACGGTCTAAGAACACAAAATGTTGAACGCTAAAATAATCTAAAGACAACTGTTTTAAGAATTTATTAAGATGATATAGGGACTTTTGCTGATGCTTTTAAAAAACATACCTATAATTTTTTATAATAAGACTGTGTAAAAATGCATTTATTCGTTGGTTAAATAAGTATTATAAAGCCAGGGAGTAAAAACCGGAATGATTACAATAGCATAAGATGTTGCTATGTATAATGTGATTAAAATAAATTAGATCATGTAGTACAGTTATTTCTTATTAGAGCGGAATGAACACATAGATATTTTATGTCAATAATGTATATAAATTTTAAGCACACAAAAGTAGCCCCAGGTGTATAAAACTAAAAATCGATTGTTTTTAGATCTGAACAATTTTTATTCAGTGCATCAAATATACTATTATTATTATTTAAAAAAATATTTTTCATTATATATATATATTATTATTTTAACAACAATAAACTTTTTTTTAGTTAATCCATGTATTATGTTATTTTTAGATAGGTAAATAAATGTTTTTCTACTAAATAATTTACAATAATACTTCCTAAAAAAAAAATTATCTGGAAAGTGAAATCAGATACATGATTTAAAAAAATAAAGTTATATGTTTGTCAATTTCAAAGAATACAAACTATATTTTCAACTTTAATGACAATTATTAGATTTTTCTTAGCTTGAATTGTTGATTTCCACATAGCTTACCTACGATGTCTGAATTTTCCAAAGTTAAAATATTAAAACCACAAATTAAGTCAAAACACAAATTTTAAAAACCCTAAACGGTTAGTGATAGTACTCGATAGTGATCATACATATTTATATAGGTAAATCATCCTACTAAATGAAATAATTAAAATGTATTCAAATAATGCCAATTTAACGTGAAATAATATATCATTAAAAAAAAATATAAAAAAAAACTAAAATAATTTGTATTCTATGTAGTGATCATAATTGTACAGCTTTAACAAAAAAATGTGAAATAATTAATGTTTTAATTATTTGTACATCAGTATCGTATGTGTGTGCACGTTTAGAAACTAAAGCGTTAAGAGAAGTCGGTTAAGACACTGTATAATGAAAAAAAAACTGTCAATTTAAATTAGGGTTGAGTATAGAGATTAGATAGGCACTAATTATTAAAAAATACTTCATAAATAACAAAAAATCAACTTCTACGGTGTAAGTTCTCTGTTGGCCGCAGGCAAATTAATCGGTGACGGCATAGGATAACAGTCTGTAACCGATGGTAACAATAATAACTACTTATTGTATTAATTAAAGACAGAGTAGATAGAAGTAGCAATCAATCTTCTAAACGGACACGCGTCGGTTATGATTTCACTATAGTATTGGCCTAAAACAAATAATTTACATATATATAAAATAAGTCAGTAAGTTATTTAATTGAAAATAAATAGTAGATATATATGTCAACAAATTTTTCAACAAAAAATATGAAATGTATCGTTATCACCACGCACAGCGGTTTGAAAAAGATAAGAATTTTGTATATCTAATTAATTTGATAATTTGGTTTAAGCGAAATGTAATATACTACTATACTATATATTATTATATATATTCTAAATCTAAAAAACGTACCGACATCCAACGACGCATATTAAAAGGTAATGTTTGCACACCGGGAAACACGTCGATTTCTCTTGAACGAAAACCGTGAGCGAATTACGGACAAATATGTAATTAATAATAACTATTATACGTTTAATATATAATTATATGTATATAATATAACAAACTACAAAGACAAAAATTCACCAAAAAAAACAAAACACGCCGTTCGCCGTTTTTAATTTTCATTATTATATATATGATAACGTTTGACACACCGGGAAACACTATTGAATAAAAAACCACGTATGACAATGAACAACAGTGTAATTAATAATAATAATAATAATTTTACGTTTAATTTAAGGAAAGTACAAACTCGGCAATAAAAACAACACACGCCGTCACCGTTATTATTTGATACGATAACGTCGTGACATGATAAAAACGCGCGCCAACGCCACGCGCTGCCCAAGCCGCCTTTATGCTTGTCTATGAGCCAGATGTATTATACGAATCCCATGGAAGAGACGATTAGGCGACTGGCGGGACGTCGGCTATTTGAATTGACATTTTATTATTATGATTAATTAATAATTTACTAACATTACCTACAGCTCACTCTGTCTACCTACTTAATAATAATTATTCAACATGGCCATGCAACAGCTGCAACTGGTGCTGCTGTCGACGCGCATTGTTTTTCTTCCATGATAAATTTTTATCAGTAAGAACAACAACAAACTATTACTCTTATCGCCTCAAATTTCAACTGTCGTCCGTCATCATTAAGCCGAGCTAACATTTCATTTCACGATTTTCGCCGTACACGTGGGACGTGATGATTGCTGTACTTATTACTGACTACTTAATGTTCTCATAATCACGTGGTAAGTCGAATTTCTTTTCGCTATTATTTTGACACTTAATTTTACCAATGAATTTTTTTTATTGCATAGGTTATAGATATCATTGCACACAATGGAGGAACTGGCGTGCGTACGATGCATGAGCTCCAAGTTCAGAAATCCGAACTTAGTTTTTAGTTACAACATTTGCGGACATTCAATGTGTTCAAATTGTATCGAAGTCGCATTCATTAAAGGTGGACACAATTAACTAATTCTATTTAAATTCTTGATATTATATGTTCATTTGAATTCTGATTTCATTTAAATAATTGAACTTCGATTACGTGTGGATATATTATATCGATAAAACTCCACCAAATTAATACTACGTTTATCATATTTCATATGCCTCTGGACTATGCATACATTAATATTTATGGTATTACACGGATTTTGCCAAGGCTTCGAATCCAAATTAACTGTATAGTTTTAATCCTGAATCCCAAAAATTGAAAAGCTAAATGTGTCGTCCATTTGTTAAAACACTGAATACTATAAATTAACAAGGTAAACAAGGGCTATTGGTAATATTAAGTGTTCTTCTTAGCTTCAAATAAAATGACATACAACTTCAAAAATAGGTTATAATAATTAATATGATAAACATATTTTTTAGATATGTTTATACATTATTCAGCCAATGGGGAACACCTATAATATTTACTATGGCCATTCAGTATATGTCAATAATAATTTCCTATGGTTGGTTTTAGTTTTAGTAATTTTTTTGTTTTATATTTATGCGTTAATACAGCGCCATCTAAATATTATCGGAAAATCGCTCGGCGTCTGGCACCCGACTATTGATTTATATGCGGTTCTCTTGTTAATTTAATTGTAAAAAAAAATTCATGAGTTCAGTTTGGATAGTGAAATTTTATAGATATCTTATTTGAAAATGCTACTATTGATTAAAGAGTAAAATGTAGGAAATATTTTAAAAAAAGACTGTCCATATAATATAATATACTGTATTTATTAAAAAAAATATAAAAATAATACATTTTTCCCCATCAGTAATTTTTTACAATGTAAAACTTGGCTATTCGAAGACAAAAATATGATAATTCATATTTTTTGTTCAAAATTATGCCTATAATAATGTTTAACAAACACGGTCGCTTAGAACTTAATTTGATAGTTTTTATGCACTACCAATTTGTCCAACAATTTAATTCATTATTGTATTGGTTAATAAATTTAATTTGGCATTTCGAAGACAAAATCATGGATATTCCATTTTTTTGTTCAAATCAATGCCAAAAGTAAATATACAAACACGGTCGCTTAAAACTTAATTTAATAGTTTTCATGCACTACCAATTTGTCTAATAATTTGATTTAATATTAATAAGATATTTTGGCATTTCGAAGACAAAATAATAGCCATTCTATTATATTTGTTCAAAACAATGCCAAAAGTAATTATACAAACACGGTCGCTTAAAACTTAATTTAATAGTTTTCATGCACTACCAATTTGTCTAACAATTAAATTTAATATAAGCAAAGGATGACTGGCTGGGATGGTTAGTCTTTAGGTGGTGTTTCTCTTTGGGCAGGCAACTCTCTAGAACTAGAGACTACCATTCTTCATATATCCTGGTCATTAATGCCATAAGCAATATTATCAAGATAAATAAAATAATTTTGGCAATTCGAAGACAAATTAATAGTCATTCTTTTTTTTGTTCAAAAATATGCCAAAAGTAAATATCATACAAACACGGTCGCAAGAAACTTTCTGTTATTGTTTTCATGCACTACCAATTTGTCTAACAATAAATAAAAGTATATTTTTTAATGTTTTCTGTAAAAAAAAAAAATATATTTACTTGGAATTTATAATTATTAACATAATAAAAATGTAATGATTTTGATTTTAGGTTCTGGCCCATGTCCAAAATGTTTAACTCCTTTACGACGGAATGGTTTTAAACTACAGCAGTTTGAAGACGCAGCAGTTGATGTCGAAGTAGAAATACGGAAACGAATATTACGTGACTTCAATAAAACAGAAGAAGATTTTGATACTTTAGACGAGTACAATGATTATTTAGAAATGATAGAAGAAATTATTTATAATTTGGTACGAAATATAAACGTTAACGAAACCAGAGAACGTATTGAACAGTATAAAAAAGATAATAAAGAAGCTATTATGAGAAATAGAACGAAATTAAAACGTGAAGAACAAGCTCTTGAAGAACTTATCGAAGAAGAGAAAATGCATAGTCAGTATAAGAGAGATGAAATATTGAGGGATGAGGTTGAACAAAGAAACAAGAAATTAAGGGTGGATGCAGAGTTGCTAGACAGTTTAGCTCGTTCCAATTCAGACGCCAAAGAAATTGTTAGTTCATATGCACATAAAAAAGAAGAAATCCCTATTGCTAAACCTAAACCCATGTCAAAACCAATTAATTTTACAAATTTTTCGACTGGTATAAAGTTCCATCAATCATCAATGCCTATTCAAATAAAAGAAGGACCTTTATACAAGTATGAACCGATTACTATTGAACTCTTCGGACCTCCTTGTCCAGATATAAAGCAATTAGACAACATGGGCTACATGAAATATTTTAGAGAAGAGAGTGTACCAGAAAAAGCTGGTGGATTCATAATCAAGACTTCTTGTTTGCATTATATGCAAGAATGTGCTGCATCTTTATTTGAAAGAATGAATGTTTAATAAGAACATATAAAATAGCTTTTATACCACCGTTTGTGTTCGTTACCAAAAATTTATTTAATACTTAATTATTACATTATAAGAGTAGTTAAATATATTTTAAAACATAAGTGTACATACATGATTATGTAATTTTTGTATAATATAAGGAATGATTTTGTTCCGTTTTTTATTAATTTTTTATTATGCTGTTGTAACTTAAATATTAATTTTCTTATCAAGTACAAATTGTATCTATTATACAATATACCTATGTAATTTTAATGATAAATTTAACTAAAGACTGAAAATATATTTCTGATAAGTGATAAAGTCACCAATAAATTGTTTTTTTTACTTTATAGATACTTTTAGGGAAAGATTATTTAATGTATAATATTTGTATAAAATCTTTTTTTTTTTACATAAGTAATCATTTGAAAATGCTAAAAGCGTCTATTAATATAAGAACATATTATTATGTTCTTATTTAATCTCCAAGCAGTCGCTTCAGAAAAAAATCTAGTTGGCTGTCATGTTGCGGTGTTTACACTGCGATTTAATTTCTGTATTTTAAAAGTACCAATTAAACGTATTATTAATCATATCTGCTAAAAATTATGACTGAATGAAACTCAGTTAAGAATAAATAAGACCTTGACTCTTGTTCTAGAAGTTACTGAAATAAAAAGCGGTGTTGTGTAATAGATGAAATATAATTATTATTCACTAGTTATTATTTGATAATGAAGCTATTATTTGTAAAACACCATAATTGTTGTTTTGACTTGTATTCTTATAATTCCGGTTCTGTTAAGTGTTATTATGGAAAGTACCTAATGGTTTATATTATATATCGTGCAATCAAGAATCATTTTATAACACTTCTTTTAATTTAAACCCTATAACCGACAACTATCGGTAAATTTTTCAATGGAATAATTATTTTTTTTTTTTTGTTGGGCTCATCCATTTTGTTTACTCTCATGCATTACGTTAGTATTCTGGAAAACTTAAGGATTATAAGGGTATAGGGAAAAAAGAGCAAAGTAACTTTTTTCTAATCTAAATGTTCAAGTTTTGTTTATAAACGTGCTTAAAATTAAAGAACAGATTTGTTTTGTATCAAAACGAATAGCAATAAAACTGCTATTTTTAAAAAGTGACTGGTGGTTTTTTCCCGTGTGCCCATAAATGTAAACTAACACCGAACATTATGTTTGGATTTAACACAGGGTAAAAATAAGTATTTTATTTTCATGAAAAAAATTCGAAACAAATTTTTAAATTAATTTTGGTGCTTGGGTTCACCAATGAAGATAGCTGTAGGCCTTTGCTCTAAGATAATAAAGTTATTGTTTCGTTAGGTCAACAGCCAGTTGTAAGACGTTTTACAGTCCTGGATGACTGACTAGTTGGATGTGGATGTATCTTTACCAGATTTTGTGATACGACAATGTCCAAATAAACAATGCGGGCACACGGATAGTAGCAAATCAAAATCGATTCGCAACAGTTGCAGAGTGAAAAATCTGTAACGAACGGACGTCATATATTGTTGTCATTGTTGCATTATTGTGTGCCCGTTGATGTACCTACTCGGAGACACGCCTATGGTGCATTAGTGAAAACGTTGGTATGAAAAATATTCGAAATGTTTTTTGGACCCAAGTTTTCCGGAAAAACTCACTATGCAGTATACATGCGACTGGTCGAGGTACTGTTAATGGAAACTGGGTCGTTGCTGTAGATGTACATATGCTGTATAGCTACTGTAATGTACCTACTTAATCATTTCTTATTAGGGTAACGGTTTTTTTTAATATTTATATAAAATATAACGGTGTATATTATCAGTTGTCGATGTAAATGGTAAGAGGGCGAGGCATAGAGTAATATTATTATTACTCTTTGGGGCGAGGGACATCTGATCGACATTGCATTTTAATAACATTTACAATGCCATGTTCGTCCGTTACAGTTTGAGTATCATTATCAAATACGAAATTTCTTAAGTATCACATAACATGAATGATATTTTTGTATCGGTAAATAAAAAAAATGGTATACTCGATTGCTCGAATACTACAACATTATCGTGTTAAACTAAATAAATACCTATAATTTAGTTTTTTTCGAATTCAATTATTAAAATATGCACATGTGTTTTAAAATTTAAACGATTTAGATTATGTAATTTGTTTTACACGATTTCTTATGAATGATAAAGTGCAGTAGAATATATGAATGATTTATCGACTGACATAATGTAATTGACATTTATTATATTTAATAATATCAGTGTCATATAACAATCAATACGACGTGTAATTATGTAGGTATATATTAATGCTAGTTTGTAATTACATTTTTTGACAATTACATAATAGACTGCATTTGGTTATGGCACAATTCATTAATAACTTTAATACTTAATATCACATAAATTGTAATAATCTGTGTACAGTTAATTATCAACAAGCATAGGTCAGTTATCTCAAGAAACTATGCTAATTGTCTCAATGAGCGTGCGGTATTGGTACGTGGCGTGGTTTACTGTTCCTAATTAACTAATTAGTCAGTTCGGAATTCAAAATTATGTTTATTTAAACAATACCAACAAGTCGAATTACCTACTACCCGCGTTTATAGTTTTTATTAAGTTTACTTCTGTGTAAGTCCGACTCTGCCATACCTAGGACAAAAACACAAAACCAATCAATGACGTTTAAGTCAAATTGAAACAAAATAATGTTGAATACGATTTTGCAAAAGTCAAAACGGCCGCCAGTGAACGGGCGGCCAAACGGACGTTGTACAGTGTACGTTTGATCGAGTCGATAGTGGTACGACCTGTAGGAGGGAGGGGACGCATACTGCTGCGTTTGTGATAACGAACCGTCATGTCGGTTTGCAGTGATAACGATCAGTCGCTGTGCTGCGCTCAGTTTCGTTAATTCCTACAGGCTACATTGTCGGACGCCGTGTGCACTATAAAACGCTACTATCTACCTACATGATAATAATAATAATTAATAACAACAACAATAATAAAAATAATAATTGTACTGTTACCGAATTTCTTTTAACATTGTTTGGTTTCTTTTAAAATTTATTTAACAGTGCGATTTTGTTTCGGGCCGCTCGCGTGTAACGATACAATATGTGCGTTTTTGTGTAGGTGAATTAATATAGAAAAAATAAAAACAGTAACCCAGTAAATCCGCTTTGCTTGGGGTTGGGGTACCTATCGTTTGCTGTTTTTCCTGAACACCGACAGACCATGACGACGAGATTTGCTTGTTGCTGTGTATTATAAAACAAAAGCACCACCAGTTCCGTACACCTGCCGTTTCCTGGGGTCAACAGAAATTTAATGGAATCTTTATCAAATGAACACGGATTGCAAACCGTTGTCGTTAAGTGAGTACCAAGATAATAAGTACAAGTTGTTGTAGTTGTATAAGTTCTTTGCATTGTTGTTTACCGCCTACTTTAGTTTGCTTATTGCTGAAGCCAGTGAACATCCTAATATGGCTATGAATGTTATTTTAATTTTTGTTTAACGGTAGGTACCTAGGTTATTTATACACATTTATGTAAACAAGGTGTATTATATTTATATATTACATTTTAGTTTAAATAATATATATATATATTATAAACAAAATGTATAAATAAAAAATAATTCATGTAATAAGTATTAAGTACCTATCGTCTCAGATAGTGAATCCGCCAGAAAACCTACCAAGAGGGGACAGTGATGGTCCTACATGGTCTGCTTAAGTTGCTTACGAATGTAGTAATTAGGTATATACACACTAAAACATCTATTAAGTAGGTCCCACAAGACCACATTGTTATTTATCCAGAAATTCGGACTGCAAAAAAATTTTAAACTACAAACCAAATTGTTTTAGTAAGCTATGCTATGTATAGTGTATTATAAATATAACTTAGAAAGATAAATTGTATACATAAAAAAGTGTGTATTGTGATAATAGCAATTAAAATAGCTGTTATGTATACAACTTTAATTGCTAACATTATTGAGGTAGATAGTAGACTGTAAATACTATTTTAATGTTTTTTTGTTATCAATAGACAATAACATTCCTTATCCGTTACAGTATTGTTATGACATATTTTTTTACTATGTATTTTGTTTATATGACTATTTTACATAATTTAATTTTTGTTCAATCTTGTGTAAGTTCTAAGAAATGTATTTACATTTTAGGTGTAGGTAATATTAAATTTTCAGTGATACATTAGATAGTTAAGTTTATTTTGCCAATTATTAAAGGTATTATGTTGTTGACGTCTAATTATTTTTCATTGCACCTATATTGGAGCATGAATCAGGATGATTATTTTTTATTGAGATTAGCTCTTTTACAATACAACCTACAAGAATGCCGACATTTCCTTCACCCCTTATTAAAAATAGGGATGAAGACATTGTTATCCAATTGTATTGGTTACATGGGTTGAAGTTAAGATGAGTAGAAACGTAGTTAAGATACAAATATTTTTTATTACATTTTGTTAAATGCACTTATCATTATGTAATACAGATTTAATTTAAATACATGTTTTTATAGCTACTAGTAAAAATAAAAATTTACATTAAGTAGTGGAGTATAATTAAACTGTTGTTTCATTTTTTCCGATAAGCTTCTAAGTATATAAATAGATAAATAAGTTATCTTGCAACAAGGTTCATTAAGGACATCTTGTGGTTCTTTAAACTTCAACTATATAGCGTTGCTGAACATTTGTCATTAATAAGTCGTTAAATTAATAAATTATTTGTGGAACGTCATTTTAATATTTACCTAGTAAATATAATCTTCTGTTCCTAGGTACGTAAGGGATAAGTTCTTTCAAGATTCAGTTGAAAAAAACAAGTATGAATTATCATAATCATAAATAGTATCTAATAAGTTACTATTTACTTCTGTGAACTCTCATAGTAACTCTAATTGGAATGTAAAACCTAAAAATTTATTCTATGAGGTACATTTTTATTATTTTTTACAATTATTATTACAAACATATTATATATAACAAATATATGATAAATTTCCTAGTAAGTAGTAACATTTATACTCTCAGTTCACCTCCAAATTTAGATGGTGCGGATCTTGACATTACTAAGCGTGTGCATTCTGATTGAATTAGTAAATGTTTTCTGAGGATTTAAATAAAGTTCCATTGGAGCGTTATCAGACTATTTGTGCTCAGTGCTATTAAGGGTAGGTGTAAGGTCAGGTTAGGTTAAGGTAGTGTTGGACATGGTATTTTATTTGAAAAAGTAATGATATACTGAAGTTATTATTTATGCATAATAAATAAATGGTTACTCAAATACTTAAGTGCATAAATCATGCGGGCTTTTTTTTGTAAATATATATCGATCAAATTACACATCAACCTGTAGAATGTAGATTATAAAATATAATTAACTCTTATTGTTTTTTATGTCTGTCTGCATCAAAATGAATGAAATGCTAGATTGATTTAATGACTAATAAGTAATAATATGTTGGCTAATTAATCATCTTCGAATAGATTGCCGGGTACTATCAGTTTTTATAGTTTCCACTGAAACGCGGTATTCATATTTTATTGCATGCCGTATTTAGAATAGTATATTTTGTTGTCGTCATTGTTTTAAATTAATTGCACGTGATTTATGCGTATTGTGCGTGCATGTGTTCTCTTTAATATTTGACAACAAACAATTTTACATCATTCCGACGGTTTCGAAATTGTCACAAGACTTCGTTTTTTCCTTAGCGTGTGTGTTTATTTTTATGTGCCAATTTGCGTTTTTCGCAATACTTCTGGCATGTTTTATGTAATAATTATAATAGTATGTTAAAAGTCGCTAAACTTGTTGGAATAAATCGATGCGGAGTATTCAAGATGTGTTCTCCAAAACACCTTTCCCGCAGTACCTACCTGATCAAAAATTACGCAATCATTCAAATTAAATTCCGTTATTGACAGTTAGTATTATTATTATTATTAATGTTTGCTTGCTTGTATAAATGGCTGTAATTAATACGTCTCGCATGTACATTTCCTAATAGTACAGGACGACGAAGGTTTGTTATATAAATATGTAACATCCTATCGGGCCTTAAGACATTCCCCATCGGGTTTTTATTATTATTATTGACTACTCGCTGTAAGTTATGTTACTTTCAAATAGTTTCCGAGATCGAGTAACAGTTAAGAGAACCGCAAAGCAAAACGGTCGCAATCGTCGCAGGTTGTTGACCGTATCAATGTGTGTGTGCAGTGTGTGTACCGGAAGAAAGGGTAATTTATCCATTTGACATTTGTGTTCGGTAGGTTGTATAGAGCGTTATTTTTGTCACCAATTCGTATGATGCGCTCTCGATTTAGAGTAAATGCCGGTTGGTATAACTATTAATATAAGCCCTGAGTACACTATGTAATTGGCATCTCGTGCCCGATGATCGAAACAGGAACTCTCGTTCTCCCTTGATCTACTTGTCATTGTCATACAGACTTTGTTTCTTTTTAACAATGCGGATTCCACGTTAAAGATAGAATAATTATAACGTTTTCACTACCTAATCTAGAAAAGATATATTGGAATTTTTAAAGTGTCGTTATAGAATGTACATTATGTTCTCTATCTACTATTCTCTATTCCTTCCTTTCCTTTCCTAGAAACCCATCCAGACTCCTGAGTCTTTGATATACCTCTACTATATTTCTCCACTGTTCTACCCAACTCACTTTCTTACAGTCGCACTTCCTGGCCACTTATTGATATTATGCTATATCATTTCATCGTGTTATTATATTCAAACTGACCAAACATGATCAGCAAAACCTAACGAGTACGGTTTATTAAAAATGGGAATCCAAAATATTATGGCTTATATCATTTACGTTTAGAATGTTAAGTATATTTTTAACCTAATTAACTGTAGGCGAGAGAGTGGTTGAACTCTATTCGGCAAGTGTCGGTATAACCGATAATCATAGTAGTAATCGATTATATAAAAATTCGTGCGTTTTAATTTTCTAACGGCTAATTGGCGAGTCATAATATGTATATCTGACCTAGTAGCCGAAGTACGTTAAAAAAATGTAGGTAAAGACAAAGGTGTTTTAAATAGTTAAAAAAATAAGTATGGCGGAAGTATAAACTGCTGTTGATTTTATGTTCGAATCAAATCAAACAAACGCTATTGTTATTAAAACATTTAATTTTAATCAATTTTATTTATAATAAATTTTAAATTAATGCCAAACTCTATTTTAGTTGACCTTTCGTTTGATTGTCCGGTAGTTTATGTGATTAGCTATATTTCTAGCTATAATTTAATTATCAGCAATTATGTATTGAATCTGGTTCGTTTTCAAAACAGCCGTAATTGATTAACATTTAAGTCGTACTCGCTGTCCTTCGCGCAGCACACGTGTAATGTACATTTTCCTTAATATGCTATACACACTACACACCATTTGTTTTTGTTGTATGTCAGCCCTTGATATCGGTGGTAAACGAATAGTACTAAGAAATCCAAGGACTGCACACACGGCGACAGGTGCAGATTTCGGCTGCATTTGTTATGTCTTGAAAGCAGGTACACCACCGGCGTAAAGACCACCTGTGAATCGAGTAATTTTCACCACGTGTGTCTCGGTATTAACGAAACGATAGTATAACCAAATAACATATTAAGTAGTACTATTTCTGAATTCTGTATTTAGTTTGGATGAAAAAAAAACCCAAGTAAAGTTGTGCCATAAGAACGTGTTCAGTGAACTAATACTTATCTCGATTTAATTAGGCTGTTGACGTCTCGTTGTAACGCGTAAAGCATTTATTGTATTATATCCGCGATGTAATATAAAAACACACAGACATCGAGTCGTCTTACGTTAACTTCCTACTATAATATATTATTTACTGTTAGCTTTGATGCAAAGCTAAGAAAGTATTAATTTTACAATGATAATAATCGTTCTTTTAAACACCACATTCCAATGATATTGAATTACTCGTTTTAGACTTGCTGTAGGTACCAACCACATTTTCTTTGGTCATTAACTACCAAGTGTATGAACCCTCAAGGTATGGGGCTGTCGACTCTTAATGGTTCCACGTGTAGCTAATATCATGCTGCCCCATAACAGCTGTGTCGAGAGGTGGAAATGCAAATGCCAAACAATTTAAAATCCGTTGATTTAGTCGACTGCTAATACTATTATTACCTACAATTGGATTTGGTTAGAATTTATCGGTACAATAATTGTGTTTGTTTGTCTATAATATATCATAGATTTTATAATCTAAAATCTAAGGTATTTCATTTACCGGAAAAGCGAACCTTTGCTCGTTTATAATTCGAATCGTTCAACGGTATCAACCAACAACATTAAGTAAATAGCAAAATTAGATACATCATTAAATGGAATGCGACCTGTGTGTACCTACTACCTTGTGTTGTCATCCGGAAAGTTTTGTAAAATATCTTGGTATTAGCTAAGGTAGTATCAGCTATATTAAAGTATATTAAGCACTTTTTTCATAGTGTAGCGTGCGATGAATCATCATATTGCTCTGTTGTAATAATAGCAGCTCGTCACCGGCTCAATTTATTTCAATAAAATAAAGGCAATTGAAGAACTGCTCTTTTTTTTTTTATTTGTCGTGTACGCACTATACGTACTCATACAAACACTGCTCTCCCTCTAAACCCATGTTATTAATATTAGTAGTAATAATGAAAAAAAAAAAACTATCCGTTTTATTTATTTATAGTAGCAGCTTGTAACTAGTTCGCAGATTGAAGGTTAAACAGAGCCTATACGATATTTTTTATTGTAACAGCATTATCGTTGGCGTAGTAGGTAGTAGCCTACATTTTTTTGTACAGCGTTTGCACTTAGCTACAACGGACGACCTTTGACACTCCCATTCATTATGCAGACTATTTTATTCAAATATTATGTTCCTATAATCCTACCATAGCTCATTCGTTCGTTAGTTGTCCGTGGCGTGTGGCTAATCGAGTATTTACACTTTTACTTTAATAATAATATAATAATACTATTAATAGTAATTCGTGATACTATTGTCTATCGTTAATGTAGAACGCGATCGGTGGTTGTATAACACTTTCCCTAAAATATTTTCTGTCGGCCAAAAAGAAAACCTATTCGACGCCTTACACTATTAACCGTGCAAAAACGGATCGACTTACATAATTTGCGAAACTGCGGTATGCATTTTCTCGTGTGTTCGAACTTCAATTGATTTATTAAACACAAGTATTGTCTAATTGTATGGTACTACAAAGAGCTGCACTTAATAGTATACGACACATTAATAATTATTCATAAAAAATAGTAGTCGATTCGTCGCAGACTTTTATTTCTCATTTAAAAAATATTCAATCAGTAGCATAGATCAGTTTGACCCACAAGCAATCGATTTGGCATTGAAATTAAGTATTGTATTTTATTTAACCGAACAAACAAACGATGAAAGCGCGAGCAGGGCCGTTAATGAACTTCAATTGTTTTTTGACACTTGTAGCAAATATTTGAAATAAAAAGGAAAACGACAGAGATAAATTGATTAAAAAAGGGATTGATGTGCGTCAACGCAATGGTCAAAATGTAAACATTTTGTCATTCAAAAAATATAATAAATATATATGTGTAAATGATTGTAACTAAGATATTAATGTGCTTTATTTAACTGCTGTACATTTATTTTAATTTAGATATTAATAATTCGATTAATTAGGTTGATGTGCTAGACATCTAGTCTACAACACACTTTTATAAAAAGTAATCGTGTTATGATTTTTAACATAAATGCATAAATATTTAATGTGCACCTAAAATGTATTATTTAATTATAAAAAAAAACTATGAGTAAAACAAAAGGGACTTTAATTATTAAAATTGTTTGATGTGTTTAAATGTAATACAAATTAATGACAAGAATGTGTTTGGAAGCAAAAGAATGTATTATATTATATTATGTGGTGTAATACCGTATTATAATTTAATATTTTATTTTATTGTTTGTGTTTTACAGATGACTAGTTTGACAATGAATTTCACCGTTACCCATGGCAAAAATGAGATATGCTGAAATGCCCAGAGATGTATCAATTGACAATTTTCCTTCGCTCAACGTTTCCGAGGTAAATCATTTTGTTGTATGGAAATAAATATTACAGTTTTTTATTTATATTTCCTAGTTATTGTATAAAATATATTTTTTTTATCGCATTACAAGTCAGATTTTTTAAAAAATTGTCTGGTAAAATTAAGTCCTTGAAGAGCATCAATAGTGTATTGATTTGTTAATATTATTTTAGACCGTTTAAGTTGTTAAGTCCATTGTACTCTTATACGTCATGTGAAGGTTTTCGTCATTATTCCTGTTCCTTTATGTAGCTGTCGTTGTTCACCATGTAGTATTTTTTTTTTGACATGCCTATTACTCGTTTTTTTAATGCATACAAGCATATTTCTGCGAATTTGAGCCTGAAAAGGTAAGGTTAGTTTCGAATTTTGTACCCATTGGTCTTATAAGTTTCAATTTCAAATAAAACGTGTATTATTATTGATTAGTTATAGATTTTAATATTAACCTCGGAGGTGTTATTTTTCGGACGAGCACTCTTTGGGAAATAGTTTTTAAAATAAGTTTCATTGACTATGACAATGGTTAATAAGTAAGAAATCCAAAAACAAATAGTTAATTCAATCCTAGTTTTCAGTTTGTAAAAATCTCCACTTAAAACTGTGACGGTAAAATTAATTTTGGCGATGAATCCAATTGGGGTACTGTTACCAAAACTGGGAGTTTTAGGAGCCAAGGCATTTTATACAGTTTTTCAATGAACTTTATTACCATTAGTATTTGTACTCTTCGATTGTTGTAAGGCTATATAGCGTTATATTTATAGCGGTTTTAATTATTATTTGGCAACGTAGCTTATCAGACGGCTTACCTAGGACATGTAAAAGGAAATCATTTTTTTTTTTATTACAGTCAAAGGTGAGGTACAAATATTGATACCAACGTTATTTAATCATATACTCTCGGCCCTCGGCCTCGGGCCACGTTTTCATGTCATTATAAATTACATTTACAATGACAATATTATATTAATTTTGTATTTAGATAGTCGACCAGTTTAATATATGTTACTGATACATTTCGCCCGTCTCCGATTACAGACGGCATACCTATAATAATATAGTCCTTTGCCCATAATTTTCAATTATAATATTATAATTCTAACTTAGACTATAAATGTTCGCGTCGGTCAACCTTTTATCGTGCATTTTAACGATCATAAACGAGAGTCCTAATTTTGTTTGCATTGGAAACCGTTTCCAGAATAAGTGTGCGTTGTTTTATTTCTTGTCGACGAAATTACAATACACAATGTCCGCTAATGTCGGTTTCCACTTCTCCTCTGTGACATAATGTGTACATACTATAACATACAATAACATTATAGTTAACACACGATCACTCGGTTGTTCGTGCGCGACACGGTTATTTTGAGTTGTGTCGCTTCCACACATTATTATTTAAAATTCAAATCGACCGACTGCTCACACCATAGTCAGCGTTTTCGCTACTTGCTCGTTATAATTTATTTCATTTTATTCTGTTTTTTTTTTAACGCTAATTCCATATGCGAGAACTCGTTATGGTTTTTTGCACAGTATTTTTTTAAACGTTAATTAATGCAACGAGTATACTTAATAATGGGTTTTACTTTCGGTACGTGCCCGGCTAAGAAAAATTGTTAATTAATATTGCGCTTGTTATCAAAACTAAAATATAATTGAATCAATGTGTACACAATGCATGCGTTGCATAATTCACCGCACTACATGTGCACTGCATATTTATAAGGATTAAAAACTCGACCGTTCAGTTGATAAGCGCCAAGTTATATTTTTTTAATTTTACAAGAGAGCTAATACTTGGTAAAAAAAATTGCTGCATAGTCAGTACTATATTATCAACCAATACTAATTATCAACTAATATTATAAAATCGCATATTTTGCTGTTAGATACAAACCATTTCATCTTTGACATTATTATATATGCATCAAAATACTTTTTTATTGTTTATGTAATTTTATGTGACACTATTAATTAAAGGGTCCGGTGCCAGAACCGGTTATCTCCATATTTTGAAATTGTTTAAGACGCCTTAAAGTAAAACCATTGTCTTATTTACCACTATTGGCGAGGAAAAATTCGTTTTATAATATCTTTGTAGGTAATAGTTCGATTTCACTGTTTGATGCACGAAAATTTAAACAACTTTTCTATGAAAAAAAAAATAATTTTTGATAAAAAGTGCAGTTAGCTGATTCTTGCACCGGACCCTTCAATTTTCAAATTATCTCTTTAAAACTATCGTTGCTTATCAAATCATTAATCATATGTATTTATTTATTAAATCAAAACGTTATTTATGTTAATTAAATGCGTTTATTTTTAAAAAATAATTTTCAATTATTTGTACATTGATATATTTATGGAATGCTCGTTAAAATAAGTCATTTAAATTAACATCACGTGATGCAATAAATGAATTTTTTAATGAGAAAATTATGCTAAAATAAATGTACCTATCTAGTGATGTACGCAAATCATCTCATAATATATGGCCGTTTTAATAGTGTACAAATAGTTTTAATCGTTCAAACAATTTAGTTGTACAGAGTGATCGACTATGAGAGGAAATCGTTGTCAGTATTTAAAAAAGCATAAGGTATTTTTTACAACACAATATTGTTGTAGTGTTAGTGTTAGTTGTAGTGTTTATTTAAATGAACATGAGTGTTTAAAAATCATTAGTGCACAATATTAAAAAAAATGTCATTCGCACCTTTGATTACAACATTTGCCTACGACTTAAAAATTAAGAAGTTCGTACTTTTTCGACTTGGGTTTTAGTTACGATCAATCAACAATATTTTATATCAATGTGAGAATCAATAGTTCTATTACCGTGGGTGGATGTTCTACTGGGAGGGGAGAATTGTTTTCGTCTTGCCTCGGTCACATACTTATTTCCTTATCAGGTTAAATCGGTGAGGTTTTTTTTTTTAGCGCCAATAAACGTTGGTAATTTAGTCACCGCTACTTCAGTCGGTAGTGACTGGTTAGAGCTACAATAATAATAATTATTATCGTTTGTTAAAAATAAATATATACAAAAAACGTACATTTTATAATGCCTTCTACTTCGTACTCGGTCGGCGCCCTGTATTATTATCTTGCCGCGCTGTGACACCAGTGATAATTATTATTATTATATTATTAGGTACCATTATAAAGCTTATCTCGGCCAAAATCCCACGACCTACGGCTCCTTCCGCCTTCGTAGCGTCTATTGCATCAGTCCACGCCGATACTCAGTTCTTCGATAGACCGTCTTGGTTTTTTTTCCTGCTTGATACGCGACGGGGTCGTCTCTCCGTTTGTCGGCATCGTTTATTGTTTTGTTCTTTTACCCGTTTAACCGATATATTTTTACAGTTACTCGATTCCGCGCGTTTTCCTTACCCCGCGGTCGCGTCGTCCTCTCCACGCCGCGGTGTTATGGCCACGGAATAGCGATTGTGTTTTTCTAATAAAAAAATAAAAATAAAAAATCCGACATGTTTTGTTGTATGCAGAAAGTGAAATCAAAAGCACACGACGATGACGACACGTACGAGTACTTGGTGTCCAATACCGAGTACAGAAAACTGACAACTTACAATTCCCTGAAGAAATACCCGTCGAACCTGTCCACTCCACAGGTCGGCGAACAACGGCACAAACGGCGTCTGTCCGAAACATTGACATGGTGAGTGGTTCGAGATTTCAGTGCTTTTATGAATTTTTAGTCAAAAGAGGTCGGCGTGTTCGAAACAGGCGTTTCACAAGTGTTTTTTTTTTTTTTAATTTAAAAATAAACCCCGTTTTTAATGTTTACAAACACGTTTAAAATTGGCAAAAAAAGAACAACAACACTGTATTCAAACTTCAACATAAAATAATTCGCATATACTGTACTTAGTTATTAATCCGTGCCCCCGTAGGTGACCTGTAAATAAGTTAAAGCAGCTCGTTAATTTTGTATAATGAAATATAAAAAACTAATATTTTCACTGGTCGTACACAAGGAAAAAATAATTGTATCTACAACCAATTTGTTGTACAATTGACAACCAGTTTATTATAGTTGGCCCTACCAGAAATTAAATTTAGTCGACCAATCAAAATATTCAGTCGACGATGAATATAGTATAAATGTTAGTAAGAAAGGAAAATATGTTGAAATTCTCATTACAAAAAACAATCGTCGAACCAGCTGCTGTTGTTCTATATAATATGAATTCTAATGTTTTGAAATCGCGCAATTGCTTGCAATTTTACAAAAGCATTGGTAATCTTCGGGCGATTAAACTTATTTTTTCCCCTCGTTTCACGGTCGTGTTTCCATACTATACAAAGCGAATCCGAAACGTTTGAATCGGCGGTTTTGTCGTCAAATTCCCATTATCTTATCGTCGGTGTTGTCATATTACAGAGAAAAAAAACTAATAATAATAATTTACATCGTTCCCGCCACAAAACTATTTTTATAAATGAAACGATATATATATGTATATTATACATATCATAATAATATAATATCTGCATTGTAGATCCTGCTGAGGAAATAGGAACTGACGTACGTTTGATTATTAAAACGAACGCGCATTATATTATTGTTTTTGTCTGTTCGGCTCTCTATTATGTTTTATTGTTTTTTCACTGTACCGCGTAGGATCATTCGTTTTACCGCGGATGCATTGTCAAGTTTAAGATAATTATTTCATTTGAATTTATGATGTTCATTTCTTTGTCCAGTGGCTTGGCGAGACAATGCAAATCCCATAGCCTTCCGTGCAACATGACGTTGAAGCATCCCTGCAGCGCTTCGCCGGTGGACGAGCAGGGCGTGGACCAGGCCAAAGGTGTACTGTCGCCCGGTATACTGCCCGAAGACTGGGCCGGTCAGCTGACGCTGTTGGACTTGGCCATCTTCAGTGAAATTTCGCCGGAAGAGCTGTCGTCGTGCGCTTGGAATAAGAAACAGAAACTGGAAGTGGCGCCCAACGTCGTCGCGTTTTCCCGGCAATTCAATCACGTAAGCGCCACCTCCACGCGTGTTTTTATTGTTTCTATTACCTTGTTCATATCGGTCGTAACAACGTTTTGTTATTATCATGTTAGGTATCTTTTTGGGTCGTCCAAGAGATACTGAAAGGTGCTACGCCCAAACTCCGAGCAGATCTGATCACGCAATTTATAAAAATCTCAAAAAAGCTGTACGATCTAAACAATTTCCATTCGTTGTTCGCGGTCATCTCTTCTCTGCAGAGCGCCTCGGTGTACAGGTAATATAAAACCCTTGCAAGTGTAGTGTGACATAATATAATACAATTTACATAATACATTTTTTTTGTTTTAGATTGTCGAAATCGTGGAACAACGTGTCCAAAAAAGACCGGCAGTCGTTCGACAAATTGGCCAATGTCTTTTCTGAGAGTAACAACTGGAGAAACCTTAGAGATCATCTGGAAACCTTGCGCCTCCCGTGTATTCCTTATTTAGGTAAATATTATTGTGGAAAATAGCCGCCGTCCACGGAGTAATATAATGATGCTAAACTGCTCAATTTTGTTCACCAGGAGTGTTTTTGACTGATTTGGTTTATGTCGACATGGCGCATCCTCACAAAAACAGCGGACTAATGGAGTCCGATGCGAGACGGTTGAAAATGAACAACATTCTAAGAGTCATATCGCACATGCAGCAAAGTCGCTACGATCACTTGACTCGATTTCCAAAATTACTCGATTATCTCAATTCCATTAGGTATATCGAAGAACTACATAAATTTGTTCAAGACGACCAATATAAGTGAGTTGATTTTAAATTTGTTAAAATTCATTAATTTTGCAAGATTTTTGTGCAATAACGTTATGTTTTTTTTTTTCGATCAGGTTGTCACTCAAGTTGGAACCATTGTCTTCTCAGGCCAACAACTCCAGAGGATCAAAAGAATCGGTTAATCAGGTGCTTTTGGACTCATTGAGTTTGTCACCTGCAAAATCGACAAATTTGTTGCGAATCAGAAAAATATCATTGACCAAACAGCAACATCAAAAAACCACTAACTGTTCAAAGTATGTTGATTTTGGTTTAAAAAAAATGTTTTTCTACCGTAAATTTTAATTAGATATTTATTTAATTTATTGTATACTTACTATGTACTTAATTACCTATATTTGTTAGCAAACGAAATATTATTATTTATATATTTAATCGTTGTTGTTGTTTTTTTTTAAACGAATCAGATACCGCAGCGCAAGTCTGCCCCGTAGTTTCCTTAAAAAACCTGTGACTCAGTCTGCAATCTGTAATAATAATAGGTAAGGTTATTTAAAATGAATGCTTATCGTGACACTCTGGTCTTGCACTGCACCTAATTTTTCAACACTTCAAAATTGTGATTTGCTTTCTTTTAAATTTAAAATAACAATTTTTCATTTATTTTAATTTTAATTCAATTTTTTCATTTCTTTTATCTTGGTTTGGTATTTAATTTTTTTTTTACGCGCACTAGGCGCTAGCTATTCAATATAAGTCTTAATTTGTGTTTTAGCTTCCTTTTTTTAATTTTTTTACATTTGCACCTTATAGCTGTTGTATTAAGCACCATTCTTGTAGATGGAAAAACTGTGTTGAATATTTTATCAGCTATAAAACCTTTGTTATTCTCAAACATAATAAAATATTTTTATATGCCGTTTATCAATATGGGAAGTATTTTGTTTTATCATCTACATACAATTATTGTGTAAATTATTTAAAACTTTTGTGATACACTCAATGTATAGTCAATATGAATTATGCACCATACTATTAATATTACACAATCTATTATGATCTTGTGTACATCAAATAAAAATAACTAAAGGTTACGTTACGTTATTGACTGGCTAACTCATTGAATGGATTTTGGTTTTTGTCAGTGACATGTTTGAACAATAATATCTTTCTTTGATATAAACAGCATGTTAAATAAAATTATATCACGTGACTCATAGGTCATGGAAATTACAGTTTGTTTCAATAAAATAAAACAACATAATATACAATAGGAAACTATCATAATACAATACCATACATTTCTGCTTTATAATATTGTAAAAATGTGTTATTCTTAGACAGTCACTTTTTAAGCTTTAAATATTTTGTATTTTTGAAAATTTTACATTGCAATAGAAAGTCAATTTAATGTTACACAATAGTTCTTGTTATTTTTATTGGTATTAAGTATTATAATAGGTACAATTTTATTTTATTAAACATTCTATGGATTTCAATTGATTTTTTCTACTCTGTGCACATTTTTTCAACAAGATATTTTGTTAGGCACTAATGTTAGATGTTGTTTTTTATCATACAGTGTGATTCACAAATCAGATGAAGGGATACTGACGACCGTTAACTCTAGAAATTTGCTAGACGATTCAGTAATAGAAGAGAACTCATTGTTAGACTTATCCAATTTGACCCTATCGCCTTCACAGTAAGAATATAAAAGCGTATAATGTAAATTGTGTGTTAATTGTCAATTAATTTGAAGTGTGGTTTTTCCCCTTATAGAACCTTAAAAGGTACTCATAAAATAAGTCTGGAGAGCTGTTTGAGACGCAAAGTGGTGATGAAAAACGGACGAAAACCGGCCGTGACGACTTGGCAGCGTTACTGGATACAGCTTTGGGCGTCGGTGTTGATTTATTATTCGCCAAAATCTTTTAAAGGGTAAGTAGTGGCCAATTTGGAAAATAACATAATATATATTTATATACCGTGTATTAACCGATAATTTTAAAAATTACTTACAGCTGTAGTAGGAATGATTTTAAACGAGAGCCGTGCAAGCTTTGTCCGTTGAAAGGGTGCACTGTTAGTTTGGGCGATAATCCCGATACGTTTTTGATCAAACACGCAGATCAAAGTAATATACGATTAAAGTTTATTAAAAATGTTTATGCATTTTATTTTAACTGTATTTGTTTTGGGAATTTTTCAGGAAATACGTATAAATTTCGCGCTGAGAGTGATAACACGGCACTACAGTGGTACAGGCGTTTGTATCATGCAGCCCAGTCTGTACATCAATCCAACACCAAACTACCTGATAATCTAATAAGCTTTGACTGATTAATTTTAACTCCAAGTGTAAACTTTTTATCAACTAATATATATATTTATATGTGTAAATCTATATATGTATGTATATATATATATATATTATATGAATGTGTGTGTATGTATATTCATTTACTTACAACTACACAGCTTAAAATTTATAGTGTCCATTACGTGACACTTATTTCTAAGAAATCGTGTTAAAGTGATTTTTATGACATTACACCTAAAATGATAGGATGAAATAATAATATTTTACTGAAAGTGATAATTGTTACCAAAGATGGATTTTTTTTTAATTAGTATAGAAAATAGACTTAATGCCAGAAAATATTGTAAAAACAGTTGCTTTATAAACAAAATTATATATATATATATTTATTATTATATACAATAATATATTATTAATAATTGGTAGTAAAATAATTTTAGGCGTATAATGTAAGACATACAATTTTGTGTCTTACCATACCACTGTTTGTATTTTTCTACGCTTAAAAACACCTTATACGAGTCTTGCCAAAACATATTTAGGTTTAAATTTTTACCCTTATGTTTTCTAATTAGATTCTCAAATATAGTTATATTTTCTGAAATTTAAGGTAAATTATTACTGATATATGAATTATATATATATTTAATTTTTACATACCTATTTTTCTTTTCTTTTGTTGTAAAGACACATATGTTATTGTTCTCAGAAACGTAACTGAATTATTACTTTATAAATATATATATTTATTATTTTATAATGTAACGTTGTTGATAATCGATACTTTATATTAAGTTTAGTTATTAATTTATCGATAATCTCTAAAAATTATAAATTTAATTATTAAATTTGGCAAATTTTATATTATAATTTATACCTATTTTTAATTTTTTTACATAAGCGAACAATACAAAACAGAATTTGTTTTTGAGCTATTCTATTATTGTTTGGTTACGTGATGTAGTTACGCTGAAGCTTTTTTTAATTTATCCAATATAATTTTTTTATACCGACTTCTTTTGACGAGTTTGTACAGCTATAAATTAATTAATTAAAGTATAAATTTTGCCAAAACTTAGTTCCTTTATTGTATTTTAGGTGTTCATAATATGCCATTTTGGTTTTCTTGAACTGCATGTTTAATTATTACACTCCACAAAAACAATTGTTTTTCCTATTACTATTATTGTCATAATAGACATTGTTAAGTTTAAGTTTTAGCTATTTTTACAGTTATTATAATTTTTTTGTGTTCACTGCAATTCATTACAACATTATGTATTTAAATACATTAGAAGGCATTATTATTATTATTTTTTTACATAGCTTCATTATGCTGTTTATAACTACACTAATGTATAATACATTTAACAGAAGTGAACATGTTTTGTACCCAGAATACCTTATTTTAACTCGGTTGATTAAAAGTCGCTGGTAATTTTATAAAATAAGAATAGAAAAACTAATTTTGTGAGAGCGTTAAAATTACAATTTTAAACGAAATTTGTATTCTTCCAGTACCCAAAATAATACTTTTCAATTAATGTATATCAATTTTATACCTAACAATAAGATCACCGAAAAATTGCATTGCTTTTGTTTTCACACAAAAAAAAAACGGCACAAAATTGTAATTTTTATTTCATATTAATATATTTTTTTAAAAATTATTCTGTGTAAATAAAAAATTAAAACCGCTTATATTTACCTTTAAATTATGGCTTGTTTAATATTATTATCTAAGTAAATTTATACTTGCCAATATAAATAATATTCATTGCTGAGACATATTATTAAAGTAAATAATTTCTTACAAGAAACTAGTCGTAGAAAAGATTAATCGTGCTGATAAATGTTAGTTGTGCATTTTGTTTTGTGTTCATATTTAAAAGCTATTACTCATTTTAGGTGCCTAAACATTATGTTGCTATAGAGCTAATTTAAGTGATAGTGAATAAAAATTTAGGATGTTTGTTGTATTATGAACAATAATTATAAAAACAATTATATTTTGAAGTCGGCTTTTGAGTATGTTTACCTTAGTCTATTGTTAATATTCTACTTATATGGTACGCGTCAGACGAATGGTTTAGAGCTGATGAGAACAGAAGATAAGACATGTACACAAATAAGAAGAAATATTTAAAAATATTTTTTTATTTATAAAATATCTACAGATTACGTCCATTTTTGTAAGACCACAAAAAAATTGAAATTATAAAATGTGTTTTTTTACATTAGCATTTTCTATTGTGTGTTACATAATATTATGTTCTGTACCAGTGTTTTCTAAATTTGACGACAACCTAGATGGAAATAATAATTTAATAAATAATATTAATTTGTTTACACAGCTGGAATGATAATCGGCGTACGTCTGCCTTTTTAATGCGATTGTTTTAACGTGGAATAATAACTATAATCAATTAATACAGTACCTATTAATTGATTTAGTAGTTAAACAGTATTATAAATACGGCAAATTTAAGAGTGGACAATGAACTAAAAAAAGTTGTTAGTAATTAATATTATTATTTAATTTTTAAATTTTTATAAAGCCTCGACTTCAGAGTCATTGGCATACAGTATATGATATAATATAATATAATATAATAGGAAAATTTAAAATACACAATAGTTTAAATTAGAGAGAATAAATTAGATTTTTTAAGAAATTGTATGGTGTTTCGTTCTGTCTAAATGTTACAGTGGAGTGCTGCCTGGAGATGATCTGGAATGTTGAATTTTGTTCGGAGGCCTTCATATTTCTTGCAATCGGTGAAGATGTGCTTTACTGTCTGATACTGACTCGGTGGTGTTGCATGTTTCGCATATTTGCACTTCCTCTTTTTTCATAAGATGACTGTGGGTTAGCCACGTGTGACCTAATAATTAAAATTATTTCGTTCAGACGAAGAATAACAATATAAAATGGAATATTATTTATATTAACTTTTATGAAATAGACAGTTCAAGTATTTTAAGCAAAAAAAAACCCTTACAATGTGGTTAAATATCTTTTAATTTTCATTATAAGGGTTATTAATACAGCTATAATTAGGCACTATTTTTTAAAAATATATTTAAAATAATATATGAAACAAATGCAATTTGTTAATGATATATGTCAATTTCAAGATATATATATATATATATAATAATTAAATGAAAACGTAAACAGTTTAGTTCTTATTTTGGCGTACATATAATTACTAAAACGTTAACTATATTATATATTATGTTAAATGAGTCAAATATAAATGGAATATTAAATGAAAAAATCCCAAACGTGTTTGTAATTTCTAAAATTGAATTGCATTTACATTTGGTCCGGTAATTAACACAAAGGACTATGCATTACAAAAAAACCAAACATCATAGATTTATAAAAAATAAATTATTGCACGCAATAAAAAAAAACACAAAAAATTGATTTTTACCCATTGCTGTTCCTTTTTGTAAAAAGTTTTATGTTATCAAGTTTATTATATATATTATGTAGCTTATACAGTATACTAATTATAATGAACTATTGTAAATTTTATACTTAAACTTTGAAGTTAAGCACTATACATGTATGTACATATAGTTATTTCAAACTTTTTATCGTTCCAAATATTATAGCAATTAGCATATTATTACAACAATATTTCAGGGGGGTATTAATAAGTTTCCTTTAAAACTTTGAAGCGTTACCTTAATAATAGGCGTCGTAACGTTCAAAAGTGTTTGTTGTACATCAATGTCTAACAGTGCAAAGTACCTACCTAACTACAGCACATGGAGTAGATAAATATAACGGTATATTATATTATGTGTATTAAAACTAATATAAAGCTATCTATTAAAAATTGTTTTTTAAAAATGAATAATCGCAGTTGATAGTCCTCTCTGAAAAAAAACTTTTATCGGAATTACTTTCCAACTCCTTTAGGCTGATAATGAATTATTTTTAATTGGTTTTGGTTTAAGACAATGCAAATAATTATATAATATATTTCTATACACCATTATTAATTAAACTGTTCATTATCAATGTATATGCAAATTGCTTGCCTAATACATTATACTGAAGAAAATGTTGTAAATAAATGTTCTTTTTTTTTTTTTTGGAATTCTTACATAGAATCAGAAAACTTCATCTTAAAAATTTGGCAACTTATAAAAACACCTATTCATTTGACTTTTTTTTATGGAGTAATGTTTTCAAGAAGTCTAAAAATTTTATTTTTAAAACAAGGTGTAGGTGGCGCCGTTAGAAAATTGATAGAAAATCAATTATTTATTTTAAAGGATTTTTGATTTAATTTATCAATATACAATTTTAAAAACTCTCACCCCTAGCACGAGTATTTCTAACATGCAAGGGGTAACTGCAAATTTGTGTATTATTTTGTTTTCTACTTTGTATTTGTATTCAAGTAAAAAATGAACACCACGGTATTAGTAATAAATAATAATAATAAAATGGATTTCTTGGTAGGCGCATAATTGATTTGACAATTTATCAGAATCGCTGACCATATAAAAACGCATTACCAATTTTTTAAATGATATTTTGAAAATGTGACAACCTAACCGTACTTGACAAATATAGGGTTGATTTGTTTCTCGGTAAAGCTTATATGAGTTGTATTATGAATGTCGTGTTGTCATTGTTTCACCTGTATGACAACCCACAACTTTTGCAAATGAATAGGGTTTTTTTTTGTACTCGGCGCTTTGAGAGAAAAAAGCAAAAGTGTTTTTAAATTCAATTTTGTGTTTTCAGAAACCCGTTTGTTTGGTTGGAGAATAGTTATCCGAATGGATGTTATATTATTATTATTATAATTGTGGTTTATGAACAGATTGCTCCTTTGGTCTATGAGTCTCCTGGGAAGACATGTTTTATGTGTATATAATAACAACAATCATATTATTAAGTTTATTGCGATTTTGAATTCTTTTATTTAAATGCAAATGGCGACAGTATACTTTTGAGCATAATAATATCTAATGCCAACGAGAGTTATAATTTATACAATTTAATGTATACACAAAAAAGGAACGCGACCAGCTTCTTCGGCCGAGTGCGTTCAACATTTCTGATATTATAATAACCAAAATTATCGTTAAGGTCCAACGACCGACGTGTACGGATTTTCTAATAATATTCTAATAGCAATATTACTATACATCAAGTTCAGTCGAGTAAAAAATTGCAATAGCCGTAAAAATGAAAAAGACTTTTGTACTGATATTTAAATAGTGTTTATCAAATGTTCAATACTTACTTTTGAATAAATCGTGGCAATAGTAACAAATACAAATCGGTTGTACATTCTATTATTTCCGTTTAACGTGTTACCTGGTCGGCTGGGTAAGGTTCAAAGACATTTGAAGGGCACATGGGAAAAACAGTAGTTGTCACATTATGAACATTTTTTTTTTTCAAATAGTTTTTTTCAATTTATTCCAACAATTTTTTTTTATTTATGTCAATAGATTGTTTAAATAAATACATTTATTAAATGTGATTTTTTTTTTTGTTCTCATGTAAGGTGGAGGAATTCACGAACTTTGTTTTTGATATACTCTAAAATGTTCA